GAGGGCTGGAAGCCTGTCCCTGCCCTTCCTGGCACTGTGGTCTTGCTGGACCACCTTGGTAGCTGTGGTGGCTCGTGAAGAAACCCAGGCGAAGCAGCTTTGGGGTCTGAGTCTTGCCACATGTATGTATGGACCTCAATGGACTGAGTTCCGCACAGAGTCAGCAATGACATGCCCCCTCAGCTATGCGCAGAATAAATCAGGAGAGAAGCTGGAAAAAAAAAAAAAATAGAAAAAAAAAAATTAGCCAGGCATGGTGGAGCATGCCTGTAGTCCCAGCTACCTGGGAGGCTGAGGCAGGAGGATCGCTTGAGCCCAGGAGTTTGAGGTTGCTGTAAGCTAGGCTGATGCCACTGCACTCTAGCCCAGGCAAGAGTGAGACCCTGTTTCAAAAAAAAAAAAAAATGACAAGGAAGTCTATTAATCAGACTTCCAGACTTACATCCAGGACCCAAGTGATTTATTATATAAATTGAAGATCTGCAGGTTTGTCTTGTATAACCTTATGCCTGTTAGTGAGTTATTATACAAAGGATATCTCCAAGAAGGGAGGGGGACATGATGAGGCATGTCTGACCTCCCTTCTCATGGCCAGAAACTCAGTTTTAGGGTATCTCCTTAGGCAAGAAGGGGGTCCATTCAGTCAGCCAGTGTGGGAGAACCTTAATATTTTCTTTTAGTTCACAACGTTTATAGCAGCACTATTTATAATAGCCAAAAGGTGGAAACAAATTATGGTATATGCATACAATGACATTTTATTCAGCCATAAGAATGAATGAAATACTGATACATGCTACAACATGGATGAACCTTGACAACATTACGCTAAATGAAAGAAACCAGATACAAACAGCACATATTATATGATTCCATTTATATGAAATATTTAGAATGGACAAAGCCACGGAAACAGAAAAGAAATTTGTGGTGCCAGGGGGTGGGAGGAGGGGGAGATGGGGAGTGACTGCTAATGCATACAGGGATTTATTTTGGATTGATGAAATGTTTTGGAAAAACATAAAGGTGGTGTTTGCACAAAATCAGTGAACGCCAACGAACTATTCCCTTTAAAACTGTTAATTCTATGTGAATTTCACCTCAATTAAAAAATACATATATAGGTTGAGCATCCCTAATATGAAAATCTGAAATTTTTTGAACGCCTACATGAAGCCACAAGTAGAAAATCACACATCTGACCACATGTGAGGAGTCAAAGTCAAAAACTTGTTTCATGAACAGAATTACTTAAAATATTATATAAAACTATCATCAGGCTAGGTATATAAGGCTTATATGAAACATAAATCAATTTCATGTTTAGACTTAGGTCGTGTTCCCAATATATCTCATTATGCATATGCAAATGTTCCAAAATCTGAAATCTGAAACATTTCTGGCCCCAACCAGTTCAGATAAGGGACACTCAACCTGTATTACTGATGTTGATTCAGGAATCGAGATTTTTGGAGCCCCCTTAAATTTTGTGCCTGAAGCAAGGGCCTTTCTTGCCACTCCAAGTCTTGGACTTGTTTAATTTTACTCTTAACTGGAAATAAGCAAGGTAAGAAGTTGAAATAATCTTGGGCCACATACAAATCGATGGTTGAGTTCCAAGTAACACAATGACTCATTTTTTTTTTTTTTTTTTTGAGACAGAGTCTCACTTTGTTGCCCAGGCTAGAGTGAGTGCCATGGCGTCAGCCTAGCTCACAGCAACCTCAAACTCCTGGGCTCAAGCGATCCTCCTGCCTCAGCCTCCCGAGTAGCTGGGACTACAGACATGCGCCACCATGCCAGGCTAATTTTTTCTATATATATTAGTTGGCCAATTAATTTCTTTCTATTTATAGTAGAGACGGGGTCTCGCTCTTGCTCAGGCTGGTTTCGAACTCCTGACCTTGAGCAATCCGCCGGTCTTGGCCTCCCAGAGAGCTAGGATTACAGGCGTGAGCCACCACGCCCGGCCCACAATGACTCATTTTTGACTTAAAGTCAGTTGCAGCACGTGCCAGGCAACCCTTCCCATACAACATAGCAAAGGTCCAGTTACCCGGATCCTTGCTCGTCATCCTGATATCCTGATACACCGGACAAAACGCAAACACACTTTCTCCCCAGTGAGGTTGTTGGAAAAAGTTTAATCAGCTACAAAAATGTGTAAGTAACAAAGGCCACCTCCAGAGGGAAAAGAAAACTACCCCCTTGGTTCTGGTACATGGAAATATGTATTATTAGATTCCCTTTGAGGCTTTTATATATAGCACATGCTCGGTGGAGAACAGAATGACTCTGTAAAGAGTATGGTGACGACTTCAGATAGTTCCTTCATCTTGAGTTCAGTTTCTTCAGAGGCTTAAAAAAAGAAAGAATGTAAGTATAAGCAACATCAGAAACTGAAAATACAAGTCTTTACAATAGCTCCAGCTAACCTCTGCCCCATTTTGGCTTGCTCCTGAAAATCTCTTTGTTTGAGGCAAATGAACACGAATATTCCACCCCTTGGTGCAATATGAAGACAGCTCACACTAGAGCCATTATCTCTGCACAAGTCTTCCAGAAGCTGCTGTCTCTGCTAAAGAACAGCCTATCCAGTGCAAGGCCTGCCATAACCCCCAGGGTAATCCCAGGCAATATCTGCCTCTGAGCATAAATTTAATAAAGCTCCCCAGGCTGCTATCCTCTGTAAGAGCACATTATAGAGCCACGGGGAAAATAAGGTGCCCTTGGACACCAAGCCTGTCTCTTGCTTCTTCCTACAAAGAAATAAAATACTACTGTATTTTCTACAAATCCGTGGAAATCTGCTTTTCTGAGTGACCTACACCAGGGGGTCAGCAAACTTTTTGTAAATAAAATTCTATTGGCACACAGCCATGTCCATTTATCTCTGCATCGTCTGTGGCTGCTTTCCTGCTATACTGTTGAGTAGTTACCACAGAGACTGCATGGTCCACAGCCTAAAATATTTACTATCTGGCCTTCCAGAAAAAGTCTGTCAGCCCCTGACCTAGACTATTACAACTCTAAGCACAACAGCCTCCAGGTAGGCAGTTATAGGTGTACTTATATATTTATTCCTGGCCTCAGGTACATTCCATTTTCCCCCAATACTAATTCTTGACAGTGCCATGGGCTGTCCCGTCTGTCCTGCTAACTGTGCCAGTCACTTAAGAGCATCCCAAGGGAGCAGGATCCTGTGATGGCCACCTCTACACCAGGTTGACAGCTTGTCTATAAAACAAACAATACTCGAAGATTCTACCTTACCCTTGCAGGCAGTCCCCATTCCTCCAAGTCGCGTGTTAGTTTCAGTTTATTTCCAACTCAGCTAGCCTTGGCTCTGAAAAGCTGTCATCACTGGCGTCACTGTATCTATCACTAGATAAAAAGAAGAAATAATTTAGCAAGGTGTAAAAATAAACCCCGGACAATTATTCAATTTGCAACCCCAAACGCATTCCATATTAACCCCCACTCAGAGAAAACACTAAGGAATATTCTTTTAGCACTTTCTAGTCACTACGGGAATAGGTTAGTCCAACTACACACAGCAGCTTCCTTCTTCTGGTCAGAGAAACAAGGCATTTGCTTTCATCAGCCATTGGAAGTTACTTAATTCAGAAAATTTTAGAAAGCATTTCAATTTAGATCGAAATTTATAATCTTTTGAAGACCACTGGTCATTTCTAAACTTCAACAAAAGTCTTGACAGCAGATTGCTCTCCTGCCCCCTTCCCTATTGTTTCCCTACCAGGGCTGTTCCATTAACTAATTGATTTAAAATGAAAGCCTTAGTGGTTGGATCCATTTATTTTCTGTGATCTGCTCTTGTCATACTAAGGCCTCAGTCTCAGTCTATATGAGAGATTGAGCATCACCCGGTCCTACTCCTACTGATCTCAATTTGTTCTTAAGTGTAATAACAACATAAAATACTACCTGGATCTTCAGTTTATTTTCATTTTTCCCCCTTCTGATGCCAACTGTTTCCTTTGGCAATGAGCGGGTTCGGGACACGCTACCTCAAAATATGGCACGTTGGCACATCCAATATTTAAAGCTGAAGGGATTTGAGAGACAGCATGTGCAGGAAGGCCTCTCTTACCTCCCCCTGCCCTTCCACCCCTGAAGCAGGTCCTAAAACCTAGGAAGGATTTTCTGACCTTCCCTGAAACAGGGCAGAAGAGCCTCAGGTGAGAGGTGTCTTTCCTAAACCCGGAAAAAAGGAGTGTCCTTATCTCTGAAGACACAGAAGAGAATATGGACAAACAAGCCTTCCTTGGTTTCCCCCAGTTTATTAGCATTAGATCATACTCTTATTGCCCTATCATATTTCTCCATGACTCTCCACCCTTCAAATCTACTATAGAAACACTAGAGTTTACCTGTTTCTTTGAGTCTTCATTCCTTATTTAGACTCCTGTGCCACAGACCACTTATATTAAATAAATGTGTTTGTTTTTCTCTTGTTAATCTGCCTTTTGGGATAGGGGCCTCAGCCATGAACCTGAGATGATCAGAGGAAAAACTATTTTTCCTCCCTTATGTCAACATGAAAGAACTAGAAACGGTAAGCACAGCTGTGTGTCCCTGACTACATTGGTCAAACACTAGCCATTTTTTTTTTTCAGCGGCAGGTTGGGTTTTGTCTGTGTGTTTAAGAACCACAGCGTCCCCCTAGACACAGATCGTGCTTGCCTCTGTGTTTGAGGATCATGGACGCTCCTCATCATGGAGGAACTGGTTATCTCAGGCAGCAAATTCCACAGAGAGCTTGAACTTGGTGGTCATGAGGGCTCAGATGTGCATTTTGGCTCCAGACCCAGAAAACACCCAGCAGTGCACATAAAAATGTTAATGTACTCTCCAAACTTGCCTTGGAATGCTATCTGCTTCAGATCATATATTCATTATGATTTATAGGTCCATGGCAGGAAAGTTTTCCATTCCAAAAACGTTCTCATAGGTCCAAGGGTTTGAGAAAAAATTTGCATAATTATGCAATTCTCAAACTTGGAAATATATGGGGATGCTCTGATTACCTTGAGTCATATACAGTATTCAAGATAGGACTGATTATTGACATACATGTTACCATGTTGGGTTCCCTTAGAAATACGCCTTCTCCATGAGATAGCTTTATAATGTAACTTTTGTGATTTAAGCCATGGGCTCTGTTTGGGGTTCCTCTTGCTCAGTTCCAAATAAATCAGCACACTGATCAACTCCACTAGAGCTCTACTGATTTATGAAGATGATATTGCCAGGAGACGTTTCATGCCTGACCTTTCTAACTTTGGCCAAGCTTTTGCTGACTTATAGCAATAAAAGTCTGAATTCCATAACAGGTGAAATTCCTATTTTGTTCTGTTTTTTAAAGGGAGGATAGAAACAACTGGAGAAACCCTACACTAGAAAACAAGCTAGAAAACAAAGATTTTACTCTAAACACACTGAGTGAATATCAGTAAATGAGTCAAACCATAAACTACAATCTATTTTCTGGTTCACACGCTCACTCTCCCCCTGACTTTTGGACAAAATAGTGAAGGTAGAGGGGCACTAGAGTATGGAGAGGAGATAAAAGGTTAAGAAACGACAGAAAAGACAAGATATGTTAGATAAACATATGAAACACATCCTTAAAACCAATCAAGTAAAATATAGCTCCTAGTTATACTTTAGTTCAGAAGCATCACTTCTATTACATAGGAATAACTGAAGAATATTTTTTAAAACCTGGCCCCCAAAATGTTCATATATCCTTATGCACACAGTCTCCCTACTCAAATGTAGAATTCTTCCTGGTTCTATGCAACATTTCATGTCACAGAATTAACAAAGCAAGGGGATTTGGAAGTTGCATTCAACTTCCTCTCTGAGAAGAAATGAAGGTCAAGGGCATTCAAGTGACTTACCTGGCATACAGCTCGTTCAAGGTGAGGCCAGAATCCCCATCATACTCACCCAGGCCACAAGTTGGGGTTAAAGCTGCAATACAGCAGGGCAGCAGGACCCAAGGGGGTATGTCCCCTAACACACGTAACAAGGGTCAAAAGGCCAAGGGAACTTCATTTCCTTGGGTGTCAGATTTTACACCCACTTCCCCCACCACCTCTAAGCCTGGGGAAGAATAGAATGGGCTCATATCTTCCCCCTCACACTCCTGGTTATACTATTTATTAGCCACAGACCTTTGGACAGGTCACTTGACTCCTGAGAGTCTAGAAAAAGTGGCAATAACACCTACAAACTAACCAAAATGTTTATAAGGGCCAAAAAGAAAATGCATAAGCTTGCTTTGAAAACTATATAAAAATATAAGCTGTTGCTATTTATGGGGATTACATATTCATAACATGGTATCTCCCAAAAAGTCATGGAAACATAAAGAATCAATGAAAACTACTAAGTGCATGATTTTCAGAATTGTTTCCTAAACCAACTGTAATTTCCTACCCACATTAACAAGTGGGCTTGGGTGGGTCTGTTTCTAACCTAATGGCTGTCATTTCCTATTTGATGGCTGTCTGCCCCAAACTCTGCCAACACATCAAAATGGCACAGGCTGAGTCTAACAAAATGAGGCTCAGCTTGAGTTTATTCATGTCCAAGGTTAATGACTGGGTTCACTAATTGCCTTTCATACGTGTTCAGAGACCAGGGTAGGAAAATAAAATACACCACGACACTCAAGAACAGAATTATCAAAATAGGCATCACTGCTGAACTTGCTGATTTTAGGACATTCATCTGCCAGCAAAAAACAAGTGCTAGAAATAAAATGAGGGTTACCATGTAAAGGCAGAACAGCAGTGGCTCTTGCACATGCAATAAAATGTGAGTGCCACTCCGAGCTGCCTGTGACTTAGGGGTTCATTTCTGTTTCACACAGAACATGGTGGTCATGAGGGCTCAGATATGGTGGTCATCAGCTAGATTTATCTGGGTGTATTTTCATTCAATTCAAGACATCTCAGCTCTATCTTAAGACTAACCTGTCTTTTTTAGTAATATTTTCCACATACATAACACACACACTCAGGCACACAAGTTCTCCCTGGAAAGAATTATCAGATATTAATTAGGGTCTTGCATGTTAAATTTTATGAAGTGCCACAAAATACAGACTCATTCTTGTGTGTGTGTGTGTTGTTACACTTGAGGAGGGGAAAGTTTTAAAATTGCACTGTCCAATATGGTAGCCACAAGCAACGGTGGCTATAGAAATTTAAATCAATTATAATCAAATAAAATTTAAATCCATTCCTCCCTTAAACTAACCACATTTCATGTGCTCAGTGTGGTTAGTGACTGCCACATTTGATAGTGCAAATTATAGATTTCCATAAGTGCAGAAAGTTCTATAGGATAGTGATGATTTAAAAACAAATAAATAATGATTTAAAGTAAACAAACTACAGTCACCATGCAATGGTCCTCATCATTTCCTAAAAGGGTTTTTTTTAAAGGTCTGACCACCTATCGTTAATTAAAATCACAGCAAATATCTCTTATGCATGCATGTGCCCCCAAAATCATGGAAACTCTTTTTTAAAAAGCTATTTCATGATACCATTTCTTGCAGGACAGAAATCAAAATCACCAGCAGCCAACACATTGGAATCAATATCCCTACAACACCAGCTCCACTGCTAAGATGTGACCACCATGGTCCACATGCAGTTCTTGACAAGCAAAAGGCTTGTCATAGCCAAGTTTGTTTGTCAAAGACTTCTAATTCCTAATAAATTCTCAATATAAAAAAAATACATATTCCAAGGCGCTAGGGAAAGAGTACAGTAACGCCTCATACATCCCACCTTCTATGCTACCCCAAGGCAGCCATTAAACCATTTCTTGTCCATTAACAGAAAGAGGTGGTTGGAATTTAAAATTTTTGTAATGACACAGTTAGGATTCCCAGCATGCATGAGTTCCTATAACATCAAAATCCATTACATGTGAAAAAGCATGTTTTAAAAACAGGTTGCCATGCACACAGTTTTCCCCAAAGCATTGTTACCGCTATACTTACTTCCTTCGTAAAGGGCCCCTGGAAGCCATAAAATATAAGAGCAACGAAATAAAAACTTAGTTTGCTTTGAATGAGTTTTGCATTTCATAGTAAACAGTAGCATACAACCCAGGCAGGGTGTTAAAAGCACAGAAGTCTGTATTTGCTATTAACTCCAATCCTGGCTGGGACAACATTATCAACTCTGCAGTGAACCATGATCAATAAAGAGCACCTTTTACCCAACATTTAAGCCGCCAGGGAAGATGTACTCAAATGTGGCTTATTAACAATAATTTCCCAGAAAAAAAAAATCTCAAGGTATAGTGTTAAAGTCAAACAATCACAGGGGGAGACTGTTTTAAAAGGTGTTTAAAAGAACTGTTCAAAAAGAAAGCAAAACAGAATCTTTTTTTTTTTTCAATTTCCATTCACTTTTGCTTAAAGTGTAACACATTAGGGGAAAGTGGTATTTTGATAGCGCTTTAACACATTAACTGACATATGAGTTATATTTAACTCATGCTAGTTTTGAACCTGGGGCCTCGTGAAGCACATGTAACTCACTTGTCTCTTGACCTTGGGAGCCAAGGTAATTATTTTTCAAGTTACAAATAACTCACACACAGAAAACAATACAAAATAACAAATTTTTCATTAAATTAGAAAGGATCATTTTGTTTTAAAAGTTTTTATTCTACTTTTCTAATAAAACACCATGGCCCCAAGGAAAAAAAAAAATTTTCTAGCATGGCAGTCAATGTGTTAACGTTTACAAAGCACCACCGAGACTGTTCCTCACAGCAGCCCTAAGGAGGAGGACCAGGCAGTTTAGGCTCAGTGACTTGGATACTACTCAGTGAGTGGCAGACCCAGAAGTCCAACCCATAATGTCTGTTCTACTCATCCATACTGTCCCCACAGAATAAAATATTTGCACTATATATTCCAAGAATGGCCCCTGGCAACAGCAACTGTGCAGCCCAAAAGCCAAAAGCAAGGTGATTCTAAGTTTGAAGCAGTGCTACAAACTAAATGTTGATTCACGCAGGGGAAAAGAGCAGCTTACTCTCCAAATTCAAGCGAAAGCAGAGCCACCTAACATGAGATATAGAGAGTGCCTTAGAGAAAGAAATGCACCCTCTGGAGTCAGTGGAGGAAGTGCTCTCACTTCCCAAGCCAGCCACGAAGTCTGTGAACTGGTATCCTAATAGGATGCAGACCCCTATTCCCCTCTCGCTAAGCAGTTCAGGAATGTATATCGACAGCCAAGCAACAAAATGGCACGGCAAGCTGCTCCATATGGATTTGTGTGCATTTTATCCTATAAATCAAGGGAAGCCATTGAGTGTTTTTAAGTACCAAAATAATGTAGGGAGATCATTCTAACAGCAGAAGATGGATTGGGAAGAGGAAAGCTGGAGGCAGAGAGACCAGGTAGGAGGCTTTGCAGGAGGCAAGAGACAAAGGAGACCAGAACTAAGGCAAAATTAACAATAAAAGCATCATCATCATTCCCATTTAAGTTCTTCCCATAGGCCAGGCACTGTGCTAAGTGCTTTACATTTTAGTGAGAAACATAACCTCCATCTCTGCCATGTCAAGTGGGGACTTTTATCAGCCCCCTTTTATAAAGAAACTGAAGCACAGAACAATGAATGGGGTCACAGCCAGCTGGAAAATAAAAGAGCCGGTTGGAACTTGGCTGACTTCGATAGAATCCAGACTCCAGAATCTATCCAGGGGTCCTCAAACTTTTTAAACAAGGGGCCAGTTTCAGTGTCCCTCTGACCGTTGGAGAGTGCGCACTGTGGGCCCAGGATGAGTCGTCGGCTGCTAAGCAGGACAGGCAGCGGTAGCAAAAACACCCGGAGGGCCGGATAATAATGGGCTAGGCGGCCTGCATGTGGTCCGTGGGCCGGAGTTTGAGGATGCCTGGCTATGCTCTGAAGCCCAGGCATACTCCCTTGCAGCCTGGCAGAAAACAGGGGGAAGATGGGGTGGATTCCAACAACAGGAATCTCCAAGACCTGCTGACTATGAGCTACTGGGGCTGGGGGGACGAGGGAGGAGGAATCTGAGCTTCCCCACGGGAGTGCAGCCAGGTCACACGGTGTGGACCATGGGATCACTTGCAGGAAGATGTTTATCCTGATGTTAGTTACTCCTGGCAACCTGGGAGCAGCCCTTGAGTGACCATGGAAGAGAGAACAAGCTCTAACGCCAGCAGCATTCCCGACAATGCTAGGACTGTGTGCTTGCAGGTCTGTGTCCTTTCCAAGACTAGGGGTCAGTAGCTGAAGATCCCTGGCAGACAGTCTACGAATGGGGGCGTTGGAAGTATGTTTGGGCAGTTTTCCAGGAAGTAGTCCCACAACTTTCATCACAATCTCGGAAGGTTGACTGTTATCTCCCAAAATTTAGAGAATAATAATATTCTCCAAGGAGTCACCCGTGACAGGGAATGTGTTCCTATTCAACTAGCACTTGCTCCTCTAGCACCCAGCACAGTGGTGGGGACAGAATAAGTTGTAATCCAGGTGCTGGGCAGAGTAAATGCTCAAGTATGCAGCCATTAAACATTAGGAACATCATACAACTTGGAAAACTGCAAATGAGGTGTCAAGTTCAAAATACAAGCTTCTGTAATAAATAAGGAATTTATATTGATATTTTGAGAACATATGAATAATATCCTGTTTCCCACAACTATCATCTGGTGGTTTTGGCATCCACAGATGATCGTATTCGAATCAAGTATTACATCGGGGGTTGCTTCTATATATTTTTTTTTTATTTTTTATTTTTTTAAGACAGGGTCCCGCTCTGTCACCTAGTGTGCAGTGATGTCATCATAGCACACAGCAACCTCAAACTCCTGGGGGCTCAAGCCATCCTCCCACCTCAGCCTCCCCAGTAGCTGGGACTACAGGTGCACACCACCATGCCTAGCCAATTTTTCTATTTCTTGTAGAAATGGGGTTTCACTTTTGCTCAGGCTGGTTTCAAACTTCCAGCCTTAAGCAATCCTCCCACCTCAGCCTCCCAAAGTGCTATGATTACAGGCTCGAGCCACCAGAGGGCCTGCTTCTACATTTTTCATTGGCTTTTTTTCTTTTTCCTTTTTTATTTTCTGAGTATCATTATGGACAGATGGAATTTCAAAAAATAAAATGTGTTATAATCTAATATTATCATTTCTCCTCTTGATGTTCAAATTGCCCAAAATAAGGCCAGTAGGGGCCCTTTTAAGTTGGCTTCTGTGATCTTGGGGAATAAAAAATAAAAAATATTCCCCATTCATTCTCAGCTGCTCCTTGCTTTATTTTATTTATTTACTTATTTACTTATTTATTTTTTAGACAGTCTCACTCTGTCTCCCTGGGTAAAGTGTCATGGCGTCATCATAGCTCACAGCAACCTCAGACTCCTGGGCTCAAGCAACCCTCCTGCCTCAGCCACCTCAGTAGCTGAGACTACAGGCACGTGCCACCATGCCTGGCTATTTTTTCTATTTTCAGTAGAGATGGGGTCTCTACTGGGGTCTCTATGGGGTCTAACTGCTGCCATTCTGTAGGTAACAAGGTGAGCTGAGAATTTGGCTCACTGGCTCTAAATCCCAAAATAATATCCTTATTGCAACTTCACAGGCACTAAAACATAAATGTTCTCCACTAGGCAGAATGCAGAGACTGCAGCTCAGATATACTTGCTCAAAGCCAAGGATATTTACACTCCGTACATGTGCCGTACAGTTGAATATCATCAGAGCCAATTTCTGGGAAAGGAAGTCATTATTCTAGTGTTCATATTCCTTGTCACATTTGTTTAGGGTTGATTACAAGCAGTAATCTTGTTTGACAGAAATACAGCCCCAGCTCAGCTCACATTAGAGCCTGCCATCAAAGCGGTCATTTGCTTTTCAAAGCTCACTAATCCCATGGAGCTGGGCAGGGAGGAGTTGAAGTGCAAGGCTCCTCTGGAATCCTGGTGTCTGTCATTGGATTAATTCATAGTCAACATTCTTAGTTGGCAAACCCCCTGCAGTGTGTCAAGATCAGACTAAACTACATCCATCCTTCCCTGCTACCTGCATTTATTACTTTAATGGGTAATAAACAACCCCTGTGTGAGAAGGAGCCAGGGAGACAAAGATAAATATTAATAAGATGCTGGCTGCCCTTAAGGAATGCACCAGTTTATGGTTGATTCATAGGACTTCTCTCAGTTCCGTGGAAGCCTAGTTGTCAGCTGTAATTCCAATGCCTGCATCAGAGTTTTGTTAGGGGTCTTTCCTTACCTCCGAAATACATTGTATCTTTTTTTAAATTTTGAGACAGAGTGTCACTCGCCCCGCTAGAGTGCATTGGCATCAACTTAGCTCACAGCAACCTCAAACTCCTGGGCTGAAGCGATCCTCCTTCCTCAGCCTCCTGAGTGGCTGGGACTACAGGCATGCGCCACCATGCCCGGCTAATTTTTTCTATATAGTTTTAGTTGACCAATTAATTTCTTTCTATTTTCAGTAGAGACAGGGGTCTCCCTGTTGCTCAGGCTGGTTTCGAACTCCTGACCTTGAGCGATCCACCCGCCTCAGCCTCTCAGAGTGCTAGGATTACAGGTGTGAGCCACCGCGCCTGGCCAATACATTGTATCTTGCTTAAAAGTCTCTAGCAATCAGTCAGTTTTCTCAGAAACGACTGGGGGAGCTGTACTCAGAGACTGCCAGCCTGCAAGCAGGAATTGGCAGGCCATGCAGCACGCATGTGGGCAGTCCACGCAAACCAGACGGCATTCGTATCTGAGGTGGTGCTTGCAAATAGCCAGATGGTTGAGTGAATTATTTCTCCCAGCCATCTAACTTGCTCTACTGTCACCCTCCTTCTTTCAGTGTGAGAACCTGAAATAACGGAGTCTATAAAGCGGCTGGGGAGGGTCACAGCACACATCTGACATGGGACAACACTGGAATGTCTGATATGCTGTGCAAGCCATGCAGCCTCAGGACACAGGAAGCTCTCCTTCAGAGGAAGTCTCTTATGCAGAAGCACGACACATGGGCCAGATAAAGCGAGCTGCTCCACTGGAGCAGAGAAGAGCCCAGAGCCTCCTCAGCCTGCTCCTCGTGGCGGCCCAGACTCCAGCTCTGCGGGCAGTTTCAAAGCCAGTGCACTAGTTCAAGACTGCAAGCGGTGACCATTAATTCAATTAGACGCACAGCATGCAAAATATGTAAAGTTGTTCCCATAAGGAACACACAGCGAAAGGAAATGCTAGAGGGCTGTGCGATTCTCCTAGCAAGTTATGCCACAAATAAGTAGGCTTGTGTAACACAAGTGCACACACACCCCATGCACAGACCCTGGCAGCCCTCAACTGCGATACTACAAGGGTTGTTTGCTAGCATGAGCATTGGCAATGGTAATCTTCTAAACATTTATCTAATTATTGTGATAATAACCCCTACCAGCATCTATGATATTCTGGCTAGTCTTTCCACTTTTGAAGTTATTACATGTATTATTCTTTTTTTTTTTTTTTTTTTGAGACAGAGTCTCACTCTGTTGCCCGGGCTAGAGTGCCGTGGCATCAGCCTAGCTCACAGCAACCTCAAACTCCTGGGCTCAAGTGCTCCTTCTGCCTCAGTCTCCCAAGTAGCCAGGCCTATGGGCATGCGCCACAATGCCCGGCTAATTTTTTATATATATATTTTAGTTGGCCAATTAATTTCTTTCTATTTTTAGTAGAGATGGGGGTCTCCCTCTTGCTCAGGCTGGTTTCGAACTCCTGACATTGAGTGATCCACCTGCCTCGGCCTCCCAGAATGCTAGGATTACAGGCGTGAGCCACTGTGCCCGGCCCATACAATATTCTTGAATGAAAACAAGTAAAGATAAATTCCCCCCAAACTAATATTTAAGTGTAATGAAATTTCAGTGAAAATCCCTAAGGAATTTTTTAATTCAAATCTGATTTTAAAAATTGTTGTACAGTTTGCCTGGAAGAATAGCAAAATACATTAAAAATGTTAATAATAATGGGAGTAGGGTGGATTAGGTCTTGATTTATAATAATGCTATGATAATGAAAAGGATGGTAAAGGTTCTGATATAAGAGATAAAATTATCAATGAAACAAAACAGAAATCCCTGAAACAAATGCAAATTACGCGATTTACTAGCAATTTCACGGGGGTAGAGGGCGTGGGGGGGTTGTCTGATCCCTACCTCACACATTTCTCTGAAAATAAAGTACATATACTTTATAGATTTAAACTATAGAACAGAAACCACAAATGTGTTAAAGGAAAACACCAGGGTTATTATTTATATAATCTATCCATAAGGCATGATACTAAAGGCAGAATTCATAAAAGATTTGACTACATAAATTTTTAAAAAAACAAATAAGGATTCTATAAAGTCATTATCTAAAACTCTTTAGGAAGAATAAAAACTACCACTAAAAACTTAGAAGAAAAGCAAAATCATTTGGAAAATTATTTGCAACCTAACAAAGGATTCATGTCCTTCCCATAGAAAGAACTTACCAATCAGTAAGAAAAAGAATACAATAACAAAATGAAAAATGGGGGCATAAGCTGCGAACAAGCTATGCATAAAACAAAGAGCCAGGCCGGGCGCGGTGGCTCATGCCTGTAATCCTAGCTCTCTGGGAGGCCGAGGCGGGCGGATTGCTCAAGGTCAGGAGTTCAAAACCAGCCTGAGCAAGAGTGAGACCTCGTCTCTACTATAAAGAGAAAGAAATTAATTGGCCAACTAATATATATAGAAAAAATTAGCCGGGCATGGTGGTGCATGCCTGTAGTCCCAGCTACTCGGGAGGCTGAGGCAGCAGAATCGCTTGAGCCCAGGAGTTTGAGGTTGCTGTGAGCTAGGCTGACGCCATGGCACTCACTCTAGCCTGGGTAACAAAGTGAGACTCTGTCTCAAAAAAAAAAAAAAAAAAAAACAAAGAGCCAATAAACATATAAAATATTCATATATATTTATCAAAGAAGCAACAAAAGAAAATCTCATTTTCTACTTAGCAAAATGACCAAAATTTCTAAAATAATACCCAATGTCAGCATGATTTGGGAAGCTGACCCATTACTGCTGTGGGCATGATTATATTATTTTCACTAAGAGGAAAACAATGTGTTTAAGAAGAAAAAAAATGGATTCTTCACTTTTAAAACACAATTTCTAGTTCTATGAAATTTTCTGAGAAACCTAAGATGGTAGTAACTGTGCATCTTAGGTCATTGCTGGGAGCAGTAAGCTGGTTACCTGGAAGAGAGTCTGCAGCCCTGTTGCAGGTAGGTATTTAGGCTCCCAGTTGCCGCTAGTAACAGCCCCAGGTACGGAGGGGAAGGCTTCAGTGGCCTCGAAGAAAACTCAGGATGGAACTGGACGCCAACAAAATAGGGATGATCTGAAATAAGAACAACCATGATGCGATTGAAACAGACAGATATGAGAACTGCTATAAAGGTCTTCATATCTTTGAATAAGAAAACTCATGAAAAAGTAAGATGACAATTTAACATGTTATCATCATAGTCAGTTATTTTCATGATCCACTTCTGAGTGGAATTCCAAACTGTAAAACACATCTCCCTTAAAAAGAGATCCAGAAAGTTCACCTGTGGAAGGTGTTAGAGTGAGCAAAGCCAAGCAAAAATTTTTGAATGGCAAGAATTCTGCTTTCCCAAAATCTGCCTGCTTTTCAAAGACACTTTGAAGACTTCCATTGGCTCTATTTCCATGGTATCCCTGGGCCTTTAGGCTAACCCTGGGTCATTCTTTCTTTTAGATGGCTATCGGCCATTTTCTACAAGGTCTTCAACTTTCCCAAGGGAAGGGTCCCCTGGGATAAACCAACACAATGCGGACCCACTGGGCTACCCCTGGGGCTACAAGAAAGACAACTGCTTTTCTAAGTCACAGCTTTAAGTTGGATATGAATCAAAGCACCATGAAACAGAGGATTTTTTTGATAAAGTGATTCAGAGCAATGAACCATTCATTCAAACATTCTGTCCCCTGGCTATGACTCAAACTAAAGATAATAAAATATAAAAAGTTTCATAGGGGGAAGTAAATCTAACTTTAAAGCTTTCAATGAGCTTATCAAATCATCTAAAAATCCAATATGGAATTCAAAATCACAAATTCCCATCACTTACCACTGAGGACCTAAAACTACTACTACAGTAATAAGGAAATGGTGATCAAATAGAAATATCTACTCTCCTAAGATTATTATTTAAAGCTCTGCTTGGCCAGGGGATGGTGACTCACACTTGTAATCCTAGCACTTTGGGAGGCTGAGGCAAGAGGATTGCTTGAGGCAAGGAGCTCAAGACTAATCTGAGCAACATCCTGAGACCTCATCTCTACAAAATAATAATAATAACAACAACAATAATAAAAACAAAAATTGCTATATAAAATGGTAGCCACTAGCCACACATGGCTATTAAGCACATTAAAATTAATCGGGCATGTGCTCAATGGCCACATGTGGCTAATGGCTACCATATTGAACAGGGTAGAACAGTTCAATCATTGCAGCAAATTCTATTGGACAGCTCTGATCTGAGAAAAATCCAGTGTAGAGATCCTCTACATCTAAGAAGCAGCCTTTTTGAATGAGAGGGACACTCAGGTATGAAAGCTTGGTGAAGGGAATGAATGTCACTTTCTTTCTCCCAGGAATGTACCCCCTCAAGAAAAGAAGAGAAATCATCCACACTTAGAAAAGAAATTAAGCAATGTGGCTTTAAATTCAAGATGCAATAAATCTTACAGCATAGCATCTAGGGATGTCTTTGAAAGAAAGCAGACAGTAATTGTGTTTTTGTACCACTACAGACAGAAGCTGAGCAATGGATATGTCACAGCCAGGGACAGAATATTTAAATGAATGGATCATTGCTCTGAATCATTTTATCCAAAAAAAAAATCTTGTATGCCAACGTTTGAGGAGAGCCTAAAAAGTTTTTATTTTGATGATGTTCTATCCGTCAGACAAAGTACCTTTAAAATAATGCTCTTCCTTGCTTTAAACCAAATTCTGACATTATACTAATCTCAGGCTTTGTTGTTCTTCTTAAAACCTTTCAAGAACAGTGGAGATTCACGGATATGCTTCTCAGGGGTACCTAAGATCAAAATCTTCTGGGAAATTTTTCCTAATAAAATGAATTCCCTTGCAGTCAGCTTTTAAAAATTGCAAGGTTTTACAGCAGCTCTCATTTCTTTCCAATCCACATGAAATTCGAAAGTATCAATGGGAATCTAAATCCTTATGATGAAAGGAGCTTCTAAGTATTTGCTGACAATAATGAGAACCAGGAGAATTAGAAGAAAATAAGCACTTGAACAAAGCAAACAAATAGTAATTTGCTTAAGAAATTCTCTGCCTTCTCACATGCTAGAAAGATTTAAGAGGGTTCGATACCAAACAGTGATACACACTTTAATTCTAAAGGATGAGCATTTCCATCAGAAATACTCCTGGAAATACATCCTTACTATTTTAATTCAAAACTCTAGGCATGAATTAATCATTTTAGGTGGAGTGTGAAAACAAGAGGAACATAGGCAAAGAATTTATGAAGAAGAAATTAAAACAAAACAAAACAAAAAAACAAAGAAACAATAAAATTCCACAGGGTTGATGGCAGAAGGAAGGGATGACCTGGGTTTGCTCCAGGCCTGCGAGGGCCTAGCTGAATGGCTCTGGACATGTTACTTAACCTCTTTGCACTCCAATATCCTCAGTAAAGCACGAATAGCATCACCTGCTTTGTTAGGTACATAAGGCATGCAGAGTCCCTAGCAAGAGGTCTACTGCAGGGGTCCTCAAACTTTTTAAACAGGGGGCCAGTTCACTGTCCCTCAGACCATTGGAGAGTGTGGTGCACATTCCACACATGCGCACTGCGGGATGAGTCGGCTGCTAAGCAGGACAGGCAGCGTCGGCAAAAACACCCAGCGGGCCAGATAAATGTCCGCGGTAGGCCGCATGTGGCCCGCGGGCCATAGTTTGAGGACGCCTGGTCTAGAATGGTTCTCCACCGGGGCAAATGTGCCTCCCCCGGGCATCTGACAGTGTCTGAAGATGTTTTGGGTTGTCACAAATTGGGAGTGAGGCAGTATAATACTAGCATCTAGTGAGTAGAGGCCAGGAATGCTGCCAAATACCATACAGTGCACAGGATGGCCCCAAAATGAAGAATTGTCCCACTCCAAATGTCAATGGTGGCAAGAGTGAGAAACCCTGGACAAGGAGATTGATGGTACCTTAATGGAAGTAATCAAGAGGAAGAACTAATTAGGAGGGCATGTAAATATAGTTTTAAATAACTTGAGAGAAGGCCGGGCATGGTGGCTCACGCCTGTAATCCTAGCACTCTGGGAGGCCGAGGCGGGCGGATTGCTCAAGATCAGGAGTTCAAAACCAGCCTGAGCGAGACCCCGTCTCTACTATAAAAAAAAAAATAGAAAGAAATTAATTGGCCAACTAATATATATATATATATATTAAAAAAATTAGCTGGGCATGGTGGCTCGTGCCTGTAGTCCCAGCGACTCAGGAGGCTGAGGCAGTAGGATTGCTTGAGCCCAGGAGTTTGAGGTTGCTGTGAGCTAGGCTGACGCCACGGCACTCAGTCTAGCCTAGGCAAGAAAGCGAGACTCTGTCTCAAAAATAAATAAATAAATAAATAACTTGAGAGAGAAGTGCCAAAAGAACAGTATTATCCTGGGTGGAGCTGGAGCCCATTCTACTAAGTGAAGTATCCCAAGAATGGAAAAACAAGCACCACATGTACTCACCAGCAAATTGGTATTAACTGATCAGCACTTAAGTGCACATATAGTAGTAACATTCATCAGGTGTCGGGCAGATGGGAGGGGGAGGAGGGGATGGGTATATACACACCTAATGGGTGCAGTGCGCACCGTCTGGAGGATGGACACGCTTGAAGCTCTGACTTCTATGAGGAAAAAGCAATATACGTAACCCAAACATTTGTACTCCTGTAATATGCTGAAATTAAAAAAAAGAGAGAGGCCGGTCACGGTGACTCACGCCTGTAATCCTAGCACTCTGGGAGGCTGAGGCAAGTGGATCGCCCAAGGTCTAGAGTTTGAAACCAGCCTGAGCAAGAGCAAGACCCCGTCTCTACTAAAAATAAAAAGAAATTAATTGGCCAACTAAAAACATATATATGAAAAATTAGCCGGGCATGGTGGCACATGCTTTGTAGTCCCCAGCTACTTGGGAGGCTGACGAAGGAGGATCACTTGAGCCCAGGAGTTTGAGGTTGCTGTGAGCTAGAATGACGCCACGGCACTCTAGTCCGGGCAACAGAGTGAGACTCTGTCTCAAAGAGGGAGAGAGAGAGAGAGAGAGAGAACATCCCGATACAAAAACAGGTCAAGCAGGCACCTGAAATTGTCAAATTCAAGTTAGTTAAATGAAGTGTATACATGCAGGTCTAGGCCAGGGGTTGGCAAACATTTCTGTAAAGGGACAAGTAGTAAATATTTTAGGCTTTACAGGCCACAGGGTCTCTCTCCCAACTACCATCTCTACCATGGCAGCATAAAAAGCAGCCAGAGACAATATACAGATGAATGAGTGTGGCTGTAGTCAGGGATCAGAAAACACTACCCCAAAGCACTCTGAACTGGCGAATGGGAGGGTCTGGCGAGCAAGAAGCTCACTCTGACCTACCCCTGCCTTCCTGTAGAAAAGCTGGCCAGAAAGAAATTCTTTGTCCTACCTTTCCAGAAAGCAGGTCATAAGACCCTTGTTCCAGAGGGGTCCTGCCCCACAGTGGGGGGACAAGGAATGCCACACACACAGGCCAAGAAGAATCAGAACTGCCAGGGTTACTGCCCTCAGACCATTACCATTAGATCATATGCTTTTTGTCCAATCACATTGCGACACAGCATAAACATAGACAGTTTCCCTGGGTCTCTGGGTCTTCATTTCACAAGACTCCTGTGTCACATAAAACTTTGATTGAATAAATTTGTTACGCTTTGCTCTTGTTGACCTGTCTTTTGTTATAGGAGTGTTGGCCATGACCGTCACATAATGGGCAAGGAAAAGGTAACAGGTAACACCTTTCTGTCCCTACACTGTGTTCTAATAGGACTTTATTTATGGACACCAAAATCTGAATGTCATTCAGAATGTACCTCAGAAAGAAAAAAAAAAAAAAACAAAATCTGAATGTCATATAATTTTCACATGTGACGAATGGGTTTTTTTAACCACTTAAAAGTATAAAAATTCGAAAAAGAAAAAAAAAAGTATAAAAATCATGCTTAGTTTATGAGTCATATTAAAACAGTAGGCAGGCTGGATCTGGCGCACAAGCAGTCGTTCACCAACCCCTAGGCTAGAATGATAAGACAAAGAGCTGAGACCAGCTGTGACCACAGACTTACCACGTCCTTGCACAGCTTAATGAGAAAAACTGCCTTCTGTCTCGTATGTAATAAATGTATGCTTTGTGCCTATCTTCCCAAGGCTGTCCCCCAGCCTGGCCACAAGCAACTTCTTTAGTGTTCTTCCCCGGTAGAAGTCCAATGCCTTTGCTTGGGTTCAGTTTGGTCTTACCAAGAGAACTCTGAGGGCAGCAATGAGTGTTCAGAAGCTAAATGACAGGCCCATGCTTGACCATGGAGCATGAATAATAGGGAAAGGGAGGAGGGGACAAGGTCCCTCACAAAACAGACATCAACACCAGTCACCAGGAGCAAGGTTGACACTTGGCCATTCTTCTTCAAAGGAGGAGGGCCAGTAAAGTGCCACTCAACAGTCAGCTGTCTGCCTTTCTCAGAGCACCAAGCCTAGAGGCTAGCACATAGGACAGACCCAAGGGGCTGTAGTAAGGAACTTTATAGTTGCATACTTATTTCAAAGGAGAGCAGAAAAGAAAGAACACGAACCAATTAGTCTGCAGTCAACAAAAAGATGGTAGCTCACCACGAAGCTTTTCAAAACGAAGAGCCCACTTACTTGCCAGTTCAATGATTTCCATTCTCTCCCCATCCACATCCTGACCTACGAAACTTAAGTCACTCTGCTCGAATCGGTTGATCAGATTAGGGTTCACCTGGAAAAACAAGAAATGAAGGTCTTTGGACCACAGAGCAATATCAGCGTATGAAGATGTTCATCATCAATTGGGTGGGCTTTCCATTTCAGTGATCCTCTGACTAGAAGCTGTTTTCTATATTCAATGCCCAAAACCAATTTTAAAGTCAGGATGAACCTGAGATATAAAGTCTAGTCACAGCACCTAAATTTGGGAGGCCCATCTTCTATCACCCAAAGATGAGATTCAAAAAGTCAGACTGTGACCCAGATATTCTCACTAATAACCTTGAAACTAGCTATGGCCATCCCCATATTGCTTCTTTCGTTGAGTTATGTCTACTTACCTATCTTTCCCCAGATCACAAATTTGCTTGAGAGTTTGAAACTATCTTATTTCCCTTATGACTAACCCCAATGATTGCTATGCATGTAGTTACATAAAAGCACTAAAGAAAAGCTCAGAGATATTTTTCTACTAAAATAACAGTTTGAGATGACAATTTGATGACTTGGCTCATGGTCCCTTGCTGCACTCATCTCATTACTATCCCTTTTCCTCCTTTTCAGCCTCTCCTTCACTAAAAGTGCTCTCCCTGTCTAAAATCAAAGTGGGAGTGGTGGGCAGTGGTGTGTACTTCTAATCCCAGCTACTCAGGATGCCGAGACAGAAGAACTGCTTGAGCCCATAAATGGGGGTCCAGCATGGGCAATGTAGCGAGACCCCATCTCTACAAAGAATAAAAAAATTAGCCGGGCATGGTGGCGTGCACCAGTAGTTCCAGCTACTCAGGAGGCTGAGGCAGAGGATCACTGGAGCCCAGGAGTTGAGGAGCACAGTGAGCTGTGATTGTGCCACTGAATTCCCACCTGGGCAACAGAGCAAGACCCTATCTCAAAATAATAATAATAATGATACATATTTTTGTTTGAGACAGAGTCTGGCTCTGTTGCCCAGGCTAGAGTGCCGTGGCATCATCCTAGCTCACAGCAACCTCAGACTACTGGGCTCAAGCAATCCTCCTGCCTCAGTCTCCCGAGTAGCTGGGACTACAGGCATGTGCCACCATGCCCGGCTAATTTTTTCTATATATTTTTAGTTGGCCAATTAATTTCTTTCTATTTTTTTTAGTAGAAACGGTGTCTCATTGTTGCTAAGGCTAGTCTTGAACTCCTGACCTAGAGCAATCCTCCTGCCTCGGCCTCCCAGAGTGCAAGGATTACAGGTGTGAGCCACCACGCCCAGTTAATAATAATAAATTAATTTAAAGGTGGGGTCTCACCTGTCCTCTGCAATCTAAACCCCATAGCTTTTAATCTACTTTTTAACATTATGCCAGTTCTCATAATTTGTAATTGTTTTTCCTTTTTTAACAGTTTCAATGAGATATAATTCACATGCTATACAATTTACCCATCTAAAGTATACAATTATTAATACAAAATTGAAAAATAAAAAAAATTTTTAAAAAATAAAATATACAATTCAGTGAAGAGGTGTGCATCCATCACCACAATCAACTCAAAAATAAACCTTGGCCGGGCGCAGTGGCTCACGCCTGTAATCCTAGCACTCTGGGAGGCCGACTCGGGCGGATTGCTCGAGGTCAGGAGTTTGAAACCAGCCTGAGCAAGAGCGAGACCCCGTCTCTACTATAAATAGAAAGAAATTAATTGGATAACTAATATATATAAAAAAAATTAGCCGGGTATGGTGATGCATGCCTTTAGTCCAAGCTACTCGGGAGGCTGAGGGCAGAAGGATCACTTGAGCCCAGGAGTCTGAGGTTGCTGTGAGCTAGGCTGACACCACGGCACTCACTCTAGCCTGAGCAACAAAGTGAGATCCTGTCTCAAAAAAAAAAAAAAATAGAGCCTTGGGCTTGTTCTGGTAACCACCCCACCCCCACATGACCCAGGGGACGCCATGTGTCCCATATACAAGTTTGGTCTTAATTGGTCTAAGCCAAACATGATACCCTGTCCCTCTTGGCAAATGAATGTTGCAAGGACCCAGGTTTAAGCCCACTGACGTTCAGCATTGCCCTGGCCATGGTTACAAGTTCACGGGTAAGCAGGTAATCTAAGTGGATTTCCCTGTCTGGGAGAGAGGCATGTTGGTCCAGTTGCTGCTGGCAGCCATTGGGCAAAGCAAACACACAGAAAAGGGCAGGGCTAAGAGAATCACAGAGATGACAGGAGCCCTGGCTGCACCATGCCTGGAGTTGCCCAGCCTCTGGACTGCCTGTTACCCGAGATAACAAATTTCCTCATTGCTTAGCCTGGTTTGAGTGATAACGGGCAAGGATTTCTGTTGTTTGCAGCCAAAAGCATCCTAATTGACACACTAATTAATCCTGATACAGACAACCTAAATTTCTGGAAACCTATGCTACTCCTGGGGCAAGCTCAACAATTAACTCCTCTTCATCCCTTTCATGTGACACTAAGCCTCAAGCTCGATGTCAATTTCCAAAGGTGCCCAAGCCAAGAATCAACCACGTGATACCAAGGGACACATCCCTATCCCCAGAGGCACTTGGCTCCTTCTCAGAAAATTCAAGTCCCTTTTGTCCCAAACCTGGCATAATGAAGGGCAGAGGCTGAGCATAAGGAACAGGGGACCTTATTTTGGTCTAGGAGACAGCAGTTAGAGTAGCACACACCCCTGATATTCCCATGTTCAGGCACTTAAAGATTTTGCCTTTGGAAAGACAAAAAGAACATTCTTCCCACCCTCAGCTCCCTACTCTGGAAGTGGGAAACTGTAGGAAATCTGGCATGCCTTCCCTGAGCCCTATGCATGCCATCTGGCTGGACACCTTTTTCGGAGGGCCTGCTTATAATCACTGGGGTTCCTCCCAGGAAGCACCCATATTCTGCAGTAATTCAGCATGAAAGCCATACCTCGTATCGATGTCTGTGTCTTTCTTCTATAAAAGGAACATCCCCATAAAGTTTCCCTGTAAAAGATACAAGCGTGAGATTAATGCTGGTGTAATCAGCTTTAGAAGCACATCCACGGCATACGTATGGAGGAAGCCTCTTGGATCTCTCACTATCAGAGGCCTAAAAGTGAACCAGACTACAGGGAGTGATCTAGATTTTATTCTCATAGAACAGATGTTCTCAAACTACAGCCCGCGGGCCACATGCGCCAAGCCCAGGACAGTTATCCGGCCCGCTGGGTGTTTTCGCCACCGCTGCCTGTCCTGCTTAGCAGCCAACTCGTCCCAGGCCCACAATGCGCATGTGTGGAATGTGTGCCATACTCTCCAACGGTCTGAGGGACAGTGAACTGGCCCCCTGTTTAAAAAGTTTGAGGACCCCTGTCATAGAGCATAGTGATAGCTTCTTTGAAACCCTGAAGCAATTCTCAAGTGAGCCATCACTACTGAAGGGCAGCGCACTGTCACCCAAGTCCACCATGGAATCTGGCAGATTTGACCTCCTTATTTACACTTGCCTACGACACTGAGATGCTTATGTCTACACCACAGCTCCGGTGCAGATTCACGATAAGGTTCATTTTACAAAAGAAGAAACCAAAACTGAGGGCAGGGCAGGGACATGGCCAGAGCCCAGCTATGCTGGGCAGCACAGTCCATTCTTGAACCCAAGGCTTTCTCCATTCCACCAACTGCTTCTGTATTTTCACATGGTACTGGCCAAATTCCAAACGTATCTATGGCCCCACCTTTAAAATGTACCTATACTTAGTGGGGCTTGGTGGCATGTGCCTGTAATCCCAGGTACTTGAGAGGGTGAGGCTAAAGGATCACTTGAGCCTGGGAGCTGGAAACCAGCCTGGGCAATATAGTGAGACCCTTGTCTCAAAAAAAAAAAAAAAAAAAAAAGTGCCTATCTGTTGAGTCTCACTTTTGTTTTTTGTTGCCCAGGCTAGAGTGAGTGTTGTGGCTTCAGCCTAGCTCACAGCAACCTCAAACTCCTGGGCTGAAGCGATCCTCCTGCCTCAGCCTCCCAAGTAGCTGGGACTATAGGCATGCGCCACCATGCCCGGCTAATTTTTTGTATATATACTTTTAATTGGTCAATTAATTTCTTTCTATTTTTAGTAGAGACGGGGTCTCGCTCAGGCTGGTTTCGAACTCCCCACCTCGAGCAATCCGCCCGCCTCGGCCTCCCAGAGTGCTAGGATTACAGGCGTGAGCCACCGCGCCCGGCCGACACTATGATTTGACTTCTAAGAATTTATCCCAGAAAACAGACATGAGGACAAAGACTTAACTACAATCATGTGCACTGCTGAACTTTTTTTTTTTTTTTTTTTTGAGACAGAATCTCACTCTGTTGCCTGGGCTAGAGTGCCATGGCGTCAGCCTAGCTAACAGCAACCTCAAACTCCTGGGCTCAAGCAATCCTCTTGCCTCAGCTTCCGGAGTACCTGGGACTACAGGCATGCGCCACCATGCCTGGCTAATTTTTTCTATATATATTACCTGGCCAATTAATTTCTTTCTATTTTTAGTAGAGACGGGGTCTCGCTCTTGCTCAGGCTGGTTTTGAACTCCTGACCTTGAGTGCTCCTCTCGCCTCGGCCTCCCAGAGTGCTAGGATTACAGGCCTGAGCCACTGGGCCAGGCCTGCTCCATTATTTAATAGCAAACAATTGGAAACAAGCTGAGCATGGAGAATAGAAGGTTGGTGGATTCAATGGCAGCACACCTACACCAACACACCAGGAATGTGCGGCTGGTAACCATCTGTGGAGCTGCTTGAACACACTCACACAGCTGAGGTGCTGCGGCTCAGGGCAACACCCTGGGCGGGGACCTACTAGGAGATGGTCTCAATGACAGCAGTGTCAGGTGAAACGGTGTCGGATCCATCACAAAACACCTGCAAGAACGCCTCATTGGAGCGCGTGGAGAAGCAGGATGTCGCAATGACCGAGTGAGTCCCAGCCCTGGAGCAGTCTTAGGGGACTAGATGCTATTCCCGTAGCCCCAGCCGACCAAAGGCAGACCCCAGGCACACAGCCAAGGGACAAGGAGATATTTGTGCTGAGAGTCACCCTCAAACTACAACAGAATCAGAAGCAAGCCGGGCTCAGTTCAACAGGCAGGGGATTATCAGACTCTCAAAGACACCATGAGGCTAGAATAGGATGTTTCAACCAAGAAAGACCAAATAAATTCCTTCGTCTCGTTTGAGCTTTTGATTTGGATCAAGGAAAAGCCTATTGGTTGTATTCTCATATGACTCTTTAGGATCAATGATCACAATTGAACTTCTATTTTCAATTCTGTCCACACAGTCTGAGCTCTCTGGTGATGATATGAATGATAGTGGGTTTTGGTTTCTTTATTTTTTTTTAGACAGTGTTCCACTTTTTCACCCAGGCTGTGCAGTGACACAATCATAGCTCACTGCAGCCTCAAACTCCTGGGCTCAAGCAATCTTTCTGCCTCAGCCTCCCGAGTAGCTGGGACTACAGGCATGTACCATCATGCCCGGCTAATGTTTTTTTTATTTTTTGTAGAAATGAGGTCTCGCTATGTTGCCCAGGCTGGTCTTAAACTCCTGGCCTCAAGTCATCCTCCCACCTCTGCTTCCCAAAGTGCTGGGATTATAGGCTTATGCCTGGCAGATAATAAATATTTAAAATATGTGTTTTAGAAAGATTAGGAATAGTAGGGGCAGGGAACTCTATTGAGAGAACTCCAACATACCAGTTAGAGGGGGGTGGTTCAGGACAGCCTTTGTACTAAAATTATTGGTCCATAAAATTTAAAAGAAAAATGAGAAGTAAAGCCCAATAATATACAACTGGAAAACATGGAAGCATCAGGAAGTTATAGAAAAGAGAAATTGAAAGATCTGGACCTAACTTTGAAAGGATTCTAAGTCTCCTATGGTCTCCAACTTTGACATTGATGCTTTCCTCCTATAGTCTAAAATTTATTTTCTGCATCCTTCATTACAACAGATGACTTAGCAAATCCAATAATAGAGGCAGGCGACATTACCAGAGATGGTGAGGAAAATGGCACAAATCTCCCAATTAGGATATAAGGAATTCTATCTTCGAGTCATAGGGACTAGCAGGGCATTGTGGGAACTTTTGAAACAGCCCAGTTTATGATGGCGGCCTAGCTTAAGGCAGACTTTGTGTTTACTAAAGTATCTCAGAGGTGACAGGAAACAGGAGGGGAGTGTAGTGACTCTGGAGCCAGATGCCTGGCTTCAAATTCCATGACGCCATTTAATGGATGCACACTTTGGGAAAATTACTTAACCTCTATACCTCAGTTTCCTCATCTGTAAATTGGGAATTATGACAGTCCCTACTTCATAGGGTTGTTGGGAGGATTAAATAAATCAAAATGTGTGAAGCACTTAGACTAGTAAGTAAACCATGTAAGTGATTGCTATTGTTATCTTGAGACAAAGAAATCCAAATACAAAGAATGGAGCTAGAACATAAGTTCTACCAAGTAACAAACACAAAGAGTTGTGTCCTCAATTCTTGAGAACAGTGCCCAGCACACAAGCAGGTACTCAAAATTTGCTGAATGAATGAATGAAATATATATATAATAGATATGGTATATAATGAAATATGTTTTCATAACTTCGGAAATTTTCTTGTGGGCATTCAAAAATCTTTCTGGATTACTTACAACTCTATCAAGGATGAATTTACAGGCCGGGCGTGGTGGCTCACGCCTGTAATCCTAGCACTCTGTGAGGCCTAGGTGGGTAGATTAATCTAGGTCAGGAGTTCCAAACCAGCCTGAGCAAGAGCAAGACCCCCGTCTCTACCAAAAATACGAAGAAATTAATTGGCCAACTAATATATATAGAAAAAATTAGCCAGGCATGGTGGCGCATGCCTGTAGTCCCAGCTACTTGGGAGACTGAGGCAGCAGGATTGCTTGAGCCCAGGAGATTGAGGTTGCTGTGAGCTAGGCTGACGCCACGGCACTCACTCTAGCCTGGGCAATAAAGAAAGACTCTATTCAAAAAAAAAAAAAAGAATGAATTTACAAAATTAATCCATTGCCATATACATGAAAAAGGAAAAACTAACATTTCCTTTGAAACTCTATGTTGAGAGTCAGTTCACAATGATGCCAGTTAAACTCTATTTGAGAACACCGTGAACACAAAATAAAACTAAGAATGCTCATTCCAGGACCCCAGTACCCTGGCACCAGGGATTCTGATTTGATTGCTCTCAGGAAGGCATGTGGGTTTTAAAAATGCACCGTGAGTTACTCCGACATGCGTTCCTGGTCAAGAGCCACTGATCCACACTGTCACTGAAAGTGCTATAGAAGGACATTCAATGACAAGGCAAAATGCCAGGTGCTGCTGAAGGCAAAATGTACTTAAAAGTCGAGTAAGAGACTAAGAGGTGGATCCACCCTGTTGTTGGGAGCAGTCCTCTGGGTGGATTTATTTAGCACATGTGCCATACGGTGACCCTTAGCACAAGGGAAATCTCAACAACAATAAAATGACACCGTCTTCTTTTCTGTCCTAGTATCTTTGGAGACAAAAAAAAAAAAAATTCTACAGTTATTTACTGCATGTAAGCTTAATGCTCACTTAAGAAGTAAATGTCAGGCAAGCGTAAGAGAAAGATGACCCACAGAAGTGTTAGGACCTATAAAATACTCCCACGGTAGGCAGCAAGATACCAATAATGTGTGGAAGAGGGTTATCAGACACAAAACTTTCCCAAATCATGCCATCTCTTTCTCTAAGAGATTCTGTCTCATATGTACTATATTTTTTCTACCCTTTTAATGGCCCTGCCCACCTCCAACCTCATGTGAGTAATCCTAGCAACTGAACCTCATTTATTTCTTTCTCCTTTTTAGAGTAAAAGTTCCTCCCCCACCAAAAAAAAAAAAAAAAAAAAGCTATAAAAGGTGGAAGGAACCCAAAATGTCCACTGAGGGATGAAGGGAGAAACAAAATGTGGTACACCCGC